CCGAGTCGTCCGCCTCGAAGGTGAGGAACGTGGCGGCCGTGAAGAACCGCTGGCACTTGCTGCCCACGCGCTCCGCGCACACCGCCGCCACCTGCGTGAAGTCGTCGTAGTTGATCTGCGCAGCGTGGAAAGGAGGTGGGGGTTGAGTGGGGGGCGGGGGGGAGATGGGGGGAGGGAACTGGGCTAGCGGAAACGGGTGGGTGGGGGAACTAACGGGGGATGGGGGGAGAGAGGGAGGTGTGCGCGAGTCCTCGTCAGGCAGCGTGCGGTTCTCGCGGAGGCATCTTCCCCTTCTCCTCCCCCACAGCATCTCCAGCTCGCTCTAGTCTCCCCCCTACTTCCACTCCCACAAATCCTATCCCCCCAATTCACCCCACTTCCATTCCCCCCACTCTTACTCCCCCTTTCCCTTCTCTCTCCGCCCTCATTTTCTCACCCGCTCGGTGCCCGAGTCTTCGTCAGGCAGCGTGCGGTTCTCCCGCAGGCACATCCACAGCATCTCCAGCTCGCTCTGATCCAGCAGCGACTCCTTCTGCCGCTGCTCGTGGGGAAGAGGGGGCCCAGCAAGGGGGTATTTTTTTAGAATTCTCAAAAAACACGCAAGGGGGTATGCGAGTTCCTTTGATAAGAATTCTCAAGTGAGCCTCGTCTCTCCCGCAGGCACATTCACAGCACCTCCAGCTCGCTTTAAATCCAGCAGCGACTCCTTCTGCCGCTGCGCATGCCAACGGGGACCAGAGAAGGACAGGCGAGTAGGAGCGGGGAGCCCGACAACGGGCGGCGGACGAGAAAGGAACGAGGTGGGTCTTTTGCGAGGAACGACGCCAACGGGCGCAGCACGGGATTATCGTCGGGGAATGATAGCATCGAAAGAGCAGAAAGAGCAGAAAGAGCAGAAAGAGCAGAAAGGGCAGAAAGAGCAGAAAGGGCAGAAAGAGCAGAAAGAGCAGAAAGAGCAGAAAGAGCAGAAAGAGCAGAAAGAGCAGAAAGAGCAGAAACAGCAGAAAGAGCAGAAAGAGCAGAAACAGCAGAAAGAGCAGAAAGAGCAGAAAGAGCAGAAAGAGCAGAAAGAGCAGAAAGAGCATTCCCGCTTGCATGCTGCTTCGGGTAAGTGGCAGCACCAGAAACAAAGGAAAGCGGAGCGCAGAGACAAGTGCTTTCACTCTCCTTCTCCCCGTTCTCTCCCCAGCCCCCTTCCCCTCCCCCCCTTCCCCTCTCTTCCATCGTTACCTCGAAATCCCTCCCTCACACTGCCTCCTCCTTCGCTTCCCCCTCCCTCCCTTTCCCTTCTCCCCTTCCCTGACCCCCCACCTCATTCTCTTCCCCTCACTATCCATCCCCGTCACCCCGTGCGGCACCTGCAGGAACTTGAGCTTCGCGGCCTTCTGAATTCGCGAGGGAATGCTGTCCGGCGAGGGTTTCTGTTGAGGGGATGAGGGGGACACGGGGTGAGGAAGGGAGAGGAGCGAAAGGGGCGGGAGCCCCGAGAGCGGGGGAGAAAGGGAGCCGAGAGGAGTCGAATCTGTTTTGCGAAGGACACCAGGCAGAGCACCAACAACGAACGGGCGATGGGCGACGAGCGAGCAACAGCAACCATGCTTTAGAAGGACAGCCTCGCCTCCTCCCCTCCCGCCCCTACATGGCTGCTCCACTTCCTCAAAACACCCTCTTCTCCACTTTCTTTCTTCCTGCCTTGCATAATCCCCTAGGCACGAGCGGGGCGAGGCGACGGCGGGCAGGTGTATTTTGAGTGTCGTGGACTCCGAATGCACCTTAGAGGAACGGGGCGTGCCGACAGCGCGGCGCGGGCTTGAAAAACACTGACTCTTGAGTCGACTAAGAAAAACGATCCGAAAAATATGGAGGGCAGGGGCTTGAAAGGCTCCTGCTTGAAGAACACTGGGATAGAGTTGGTTGGAGCGAATACTGGCTGGAGCGAATACTGAGGCGCCTTTAAAAAACTGCGCCTCAAAGAAGAAAGGCAGCAGCGCACCTGCTTGAAGAACACTGGGATAGGGTCGGCGGGCGCGGCGGGCTGCTGTAGCCTCCGCGCCTCCATGATGTGCCGCAGATGCCACAACACCTCGTCCTCTGGTAGGGGGAAGAGCGGCGGGGTGGGGGAGGGGGAAATGGGGGACGGCGAAGGGGGGAAGGGGAGATATAGGCGATGCCGCACATGCGGTGAGACGGGGCACGTGAAAGAAGAGAAGAAACGAGCGGGGAAGAGGGGGTTGGGGGGGAGAATAAACGCGCAAGCGCGCGCGCGACCAGCTGAACCGTAGCTGCTTTGTGAGTGTGAGAGAGAAAAATAGAGAGGGAAACAGAGCGCGCGAGCGGAGTGCGGCTTGAGAAACAGCCAGATTGTCGTGATCCGAAACATCTCGCCACACACGACACAACCACCTCATCTCTCTCCTCGTTGACCCTCTCCTCGTCCTCCGTCTCATCCTTGCTTTCCCTGTGCCTGCGACACACATCAACAGCGAGCATGCAACCCGCCGTGACGCACCTAAGTTATGTTCCGCGACGTCCGCCCCGCTGGCAGGCCCCGCAGCCGCTTCCGTCGCCGCGGCACTTGCGGACGCTAACGCTGCCTCCATACCTCCCCCGCGCGCTCCGGGCCTTCCGCCAATTCCCAGACTATTCCTCCCCGTTAGCTTGTCGGAACCCCCAGCGTGAGGGGAACCCCTTCCTCCGCGCCCCTTGATTCCCGCCAGTCCTCCGCGGTCGGTGGCTGTGGTTGCGGCAGTGCTTCTGCTGTTGTCCTCCTCGACGTACCGGCGCAACGCCTGCACCCACGCGAGACCGCTCTGCTTCGCGGCCTCCGGGATTTCCGGTCGCGATGCGCCGACGACTGCAGCCATGGCGGGACGGTGGGTGGCTCAGACTGCGAGGTCGAAAGGCGGTTTAGACTGACTGAGCTACACGGAAACGGGTTCAAACTGACGAAGCTACACAGAAACTGCTTCACGTAAAGACGCTACACGAAAGCAGGTCTAGACTAACAATTCAATCTGGGGGAGCTAGACGGAAAGCGGTTCGGCTCGCGAAGCTTTACAAAAACAAAGAAAACTATAAGGAAACTGGCTCAAATAGACGGCGCCGTAAGGAAACTGGCTCTCAAGTATCGGACGACTGCAAGGATAGGCGTTGCTGTGTGACGTAGTCGTTGCTATGCAGAACAGGTGTTGCTATATGAAAACAGAGTTGCTGTGAAAACTCAGGAACGACGCGAATGGGATAGGTTCTAACGACGACGCCTCTAGCCGTGAAGTATGTGCATAGATTAGCTTTGAGGTAGGGAAGTATAGCACGAACGGAAACTAACTGTCACCCAGCTACTGGAACAGGATGAACGCTCATGTGCAATGAAGCCATCGGGTACTCGCTACAGAATTTCGTTGTGAGCTGGTAATATACGATCGATCTTCCAAAGCAGGAATCGGCTTATCCGGTCCGCTACACAAGCAACGCTTTTGGCTAAGTCACGACGAGCAAAAGGTAACCAGAAACAACAGCCAAGGAGGAATCTATTCGGTTGGCAGGAGAACGACTGGAGTTAGGCTAGGAAGTTGAGTTGCCTGAGGAAGTGTATGGATGGAGTGGAGTGGAGGGCGATGGTGATGATGTGTTCGAGGTGAGTGGAGTGGAGTCAAAGCGGAGGAGGATATGTTGTCGGCTCCGCGGAGAGGGGCGGAAAGTGATCGGGGGAAAGGTGTGTGCTTTCGGGGGAATTGGGGGAGGACTGTACTGTAGTCATTCTTGTACCATGCGCGCATCTGGTTTCCGCTCGGTTGAGGAGCCAGGGGATTTCCGAGGTGAAGGTCTTGGGGGGAACGGCGGTTGTCTTGGAGTGGCGCACGGTGCTCTGGGGATGGCGGAAGGACCCCCAGACCAGATGTGTGGAGTGTATGGGTGGGTCCACGTTCTGGTTTGGGCTCATGTAGTGTTTTGTCACGGATGTTGAATAAGGGAGGAGGGGCGATGCGGGAAGGGAGATTTGCGCAGCGCCTTGGTGAAAGTTGAGAGCTGGCACTGGGAGGGAGCCGACTGACAGAAATCGAAGCGCCAGCCGACACAAGAACTCAACGGACACGTACACTTGAGAGCGTGAAACTCCATTTATGTATCATTATAAATACCATGATCCAAAAGCACAGGCTTAGATAACCCACTATGATATTGTGAAGTCCATACATATTTTTCATTAAAAAAACTATTCTATAATTCTCGTTCCCCTAATAATAATTTTGTCAAGAAACTTAGCATTTCAGTTATACTTATTATTCTTAATGTTGTTTACACATTTTTAGAGAATAAATTTAATAACTCAGTTTATGCTTCAGAGAGAGATTAGGCCGTTTGTTTTTCTTACCTTTGTAAAAAGATATCACATACTTACTGGAAGGCATGTACAAATATCTACAATTATAGCTCGCCACCAACTTGCCCTACAAAACCTTATTGACGAGGATGTCGGCTGTCACCATTAGTACAACTCACGAGCACGACTCCCTTACGTGTTCCGATTCATGACCAATCAGCTCCTTTCGCAAAGCCGCTAATCGGAGAAACAAACGACCGCCCGAAACCAAATTCTCCAATTTCTTCGCCGCGTCGCCAGCGTCTCGTTGTTGACCGGTAGATCGCGAGCGTGGGTTTGGCGCGCGCAACGTCGTTGTTGTGGCTGCTGATCGAAAAATGTTGCGCGTGACCCATTTGGGCGGTGACTGTTTTGAAGCATGGATGCAGCGTACATACATGATCGAACCAATTCTTCTAAGTCATGCTCGGGCCACGGTCGCGGTGCCTCTCTCCTGCTCCCTCTCCTGCTTTCAACACGCGAAGTTCGTCTAATATCCTTGTCACGGAGCCTTGCACATTCGTCATCCAGTGACGAGTTTGTTCAGCCCTCTAAGAATTTTTCTTTCGCAGTTGTCTCCAGTATTTGAGGCGATTCATATTCTAGGTCCTCGCCTTTACGCACGCAGCTCGCAGCTATGGCGGCCAATGGCTTCCGCGCGTTCGTCAGTGTCATTGCTCTTGTCCTCGTCGCGGCTCCGCTTTCCTGCGCGTTGCAAGGCAAGTGTGCTCATGGAATATAACGTTGGGCAGATGAGTCTCTCTCCGCCGCAAGGCGTTCGGATGGCAGCGCTGCGTCGCATCTCCAAAAGAAACCTGGAAAGGCCTAAAATCATCACTCATCGATAAATTTCGCCTTTTTTTTCTGTGCCGATCCTTCCTTCAAAATATTTTTTCTTTGATTAGCCGTGATTCCTGTGACGGGGATTGTCGTTCTGATCATCATCTCCGACATCTGTCTTCTGGTGCTCCCTGCTTCTCTTCCCATCTGCATCTGCTCCCATCTGCAGATGACCCATCAGAATCTTCCATCGAACGGCGAATTTTGGGGTAATAACCACAATGTGCCTCGATTGTACATCTGTATCGTACCGCGCAAATTACCGGTTCTGATATACCTACAACTTGCTCCTGAGAGCTGATGCAATCACTACGTTGAGTGTCCCTTGCTCGCACTCTCACCGTTGAGTGTCTCCTATTCTCCCCCTCTCCTCCACCCTCACTCCCCCCCCCCCTCCCCCATCTCAATTCCGCAGAAACGGGAAGCCTCCGCGGTCTCCGCTTAAATACACAGATCGCGAGTGCATCGCGAAACTGAACAAGGCCGGGAAGCTGGTCCAAGAAGGTGCCGTGTTCGTGAAATCCGTCAATCCCAAGGACCCCCTGCCGTCCTACTTCCCGCGCCTCGTCGCCGCCGTGCAATCGCTGCGCAACGGCGCGTTGCTGCTCAAGAGCGAGCAGCGCTCATTGGTTCTCGTGCAGATCTCCAACGGCATGAACAACATCAACACCGCTCTCGCGTTCCTCAGGCCCCCGCCGGGGTCCAAGGCGAAAATGACGGAGAGGCAGGCGACCGCGATTGATTATCTTGGAGGCGCGCTCCGGGTGGCTGATCTTGCCCGGCAGTCGTTTGTGGGGAACAAGAAGAACCAACCTGGTGGCGCCGCTTGAATAAATACATATACTTATGTAGTATTCGAGAGAGATACGGTTCTTGGTGTGAGGACCCCGGTAACTGGTTCCGTCAGAGTGGGTGGTAGATAACTTAGAATAGTATCAGGAAAAAAAGTAGGCTACTTAGTGGACGTGGATAAGGAACGCACAAGGCACTGCGCCTACGCCTAACTCCCCTGTCCTCTTGCAATAATTAATGCATATACGGAGTCCGCAACTGGTGCATTATCAATCTACTGAAATGCAAAAACGGTTATACTCCTCCAAACCTTTGGTGCTGTGCAATACTCTTGCCCTAACTAAATGAACTGTGGAAGATGAGCTATTGACTGTTTGCGGGAGGTTGACTTGACTTGACAGGTACATCTATTTTTAGTAGGCCATGCGCCATTCTTTACTGTTGCTTTCGTCGTCCACTGTCAACTTTTGCGCGACAAGCAGTGGATCCTACACCAAAGCCGGTAAGTCATCCTGGCCCAATCGGTCGGACCGGGAGGCTATGGTTAGTCTTCTGGCTACGGTATGCTAGCATGGAACCATTGCAGAGAATACTTATGGTAGCCTTGAGTCGAGCTCGCAGTGTGTTTGGAGTTTGGATTGGTCCCATCTTTGTGGACGCTCTGCAGATCGAGGCTGCAGCACCTGCACCACCTGTTTTGGAAGGTACAATCACGACCAGAAAGGTTGTGAGCACCATGGTAAGTGGTGAGTACATGATACCCACCCACCCAGTCGACCACCAACCCATGTGAAATTGGGTCTCATGTGGAAGTTTCTATCTCTCCACTCGAGCCACAACCTCTATACAAATGTGGAGCTCTAATTCATGGTACATGGCAAGCTAAGATCATCCAGACTTCAATAAGGCATATATTTGTTGTATTCATTATTCACGATGAGAGGGTCACACACCAGTCAAGACTCTTCCTCTGTACATCTCTTCTCTTCGCTATCGAAACGATCCTACGTGCATGATATCAGCAAGAGAGATAAAGAGCAAGCGTAACTGGAAGTGCACACGGATGTGACTGATTGTGTTAGGCCCGACGGCCTAAATCCGCTAAAGAATTAGAGGGGTCGACTAAGTCGAGGATGAAACGCGGCGGAAGACTTTGGCGAAAGAACTATAGGCGAAATAGGCGAAGAAGTTACTGAGTAATTGAAGAAGACTTGAATGAGAATTGGTTGATAATGCCAAGTAAAAACAAGGTTTAAGTAGCATGCAAGAAACAAGGTCGGAAAGTAGATTGTGGGACTAGGAATTGTGAAGCTAGAAAAGTAGAGTGCCACGTGGCACTAAAGAATCTGAGAAGATAAGGATAAGGGTGAATTGGAAAGTACTGTTCGGAATGAACAGTAAATCCCCCCTTAACACTACCCCCCTCCTAAGGAGGCGACGTCCGCGGCGCCTGCAGACTGGAGGTACGCTTGGAGGCAAGCGTTGTCAGGAGACAGCGACGACGAAGGAACCCAGCTGTCGTCCGCTGCGTCGTAACCACGCCAACGAACCAAGAAGTCGATGAAAGAGACACCCCCCTGAAGACGGCGACGGTGCCTGGAGATGCGCTGGAACTAATAACGGGCTCGTCGGTGTCAACAGCTACCGGCAGTGGAGTGCGGTCACGGCCCGAGAAGGTGGCGTTGGGATCAGTGTAAGGACAAAGAAGCGACACGTGGATGAGAGAAGTTGAACGAGAAATGAATGCACTATGAAAGAGTTGGGTACAAGTACTAACCCTAATTGGGTTGTACCCCATATAGGCTACCCCACTACAGCCTACATAAAAGCATAAGCTATAATGTTCTCTCACACCCCCATAGGCAAAGTGGGGGAGTACAAGGGGTCACAAGACCAGCCAAGCAAAGTAAAGCAAAGCAAGCTCCGGGTGGATCACAAAGTCACCACACATTCCGAGCACAAGGTCAAGGCCACAAGGCCAGTTCACATGCAGGAGTGCACATATATATATATGTAACACTAAACAAGCAAGAGGAGGTATATATATATGCAAGAGTACAAGTAAGATCAAGAGGTGAGCAAGTGAGGTAAGACAGGTACAAGTCCCAGCTGAGTGCAGAAGCGCTGATGATCACAAGGCGGAAGTGCCTGGGTAAAAACATCAGCAGTGTTGGCCTCAGAGGCCACGTACGCAAGTCGCAACTGACCACGCTGTTGCAGCTCACGAGCAAGAAAGTAGCGGAGAGCAATGTGCTTCGTTCTGTGCTCCAGGCGCTGTTCTCGACACAAGGCCAGCATGGCCTTGTTGTCTACGTACAGCACTGGAGGAGAACGAGGCGGCTCTCCAAGGTCAGTCAGCAGGTAGGTGAGCCAGCAAAGCTCCTGAGCAGCCATGGCCCCAGCGTAGATCTCAGCCTCACAACTGGAGCCGAGAACAGAAGATGAGCGAGTAGCCCACCACGAAACAGAGCCGGAACCAAGACTGAAGGTGTAACCCTGTGACGACCGCTGAGTAGCCTGGTCGTCAGCCCAAGAAGCGTCCGCGTGCCCAGTGAGGACCACTGGACTCCGCCCTCCAAGCACTAGCCCCATGCCCGACGTACTGCACAAGTAGCGCAACACCCTCTTCGCTGCAGCCATGTGCTATGGTCGGTGTCTCCCAGGAGCAACATAGCGTGCAAGAATGCTAAGAGGGTATGCAAGGTCAGGTCGTGTGCAGGTCATCAGGTACATGAGGCAGCCAACAAGCTCTGGGTACGGGCCACTCGACTCTACGGACTCATCCGAAGGCAGAGCTGAGAGCGAGTGGCGAGTAGACAGAGGAGTGGCCTGAGGCGAGGAGTACGTGAAGCCGAAGCGCTGAAGGACCTGCTGCACCATGTGTGACTGAGTCAAGGTAATGGTGCGTTCTCTGTCCCGAGTGATCTGCAAGCCAAGGTAGCTGCGCAGTTCACCCAGGTCTGTGCACGTGTGTCTCTTCTGCAGCTCGGACTTCACGTAGGCGAGTCCAGCAGTGTCCGCTGTTGCAAAGACCAAGTCGTCAACGTACACGAGGATGTAGAACGGCGGCAGAGAAGTGTCGGTGCGCAGAAACAACGACGGGTCAGCAGTAGAGGGAGCAAACCCAAGAGCCGCAAGCGTAGTCCTGAGTGTGTCGTGCCACTCACGCGGTGCCTTGCGGAGACCATAGACTGGCCGTCGGAAGCTCCACTGGGTGCCAGGAGGGAAAGTCCCAGTGAAGCCAGGTGGACGGCGCAGCCAGATCTCCTCGTGCAGGCTACCCTGAAAGAAAGCAGTGCTGAAGTCAAGAGAGTGGAGCTCGTAGTCGCGCTGAGCGGCTATGTGCAGCAGCACCCGAAGAGTGGTCATCTTCGGGGTGGGAGAGAAGGTCTGAAAGTAGTCAACTCCCTGCCGCTGACTGAAGCCACGAGCCACGTACCGCGCCTTGAAGACAGGTGGAGAGCCCGGCGGCCGCTTCACCCTGAAGATCCACATGCCACTGACGATGTTCGCCCCAGGAGGGGGAACCGCGTTAACATAGGTGCCTGTGGACTTCCAGGAAGCCATCTCTGCATCCATAGCTGCCTGCCACTGAGAGGAGTAGGGACCCTCTACGGCCTCCGCGTAAGAGCGCGGAGTCGGGATGTCCAGTGCATCTAGGTCTCCCTCAGGGGCAAGTAGTACGGACGCGAGATGAGGTGAAGCAGCAGCCAGACACTGGAACTCCTCCTGCCTGTCCTCAAGGACGTCCGTGCCAAGAGCACACTCATCCCCGACGGACGGAGGACAGACAGACACAGACTCAGCAACAAGACTGGCAGCGTAGTCTAGACGACAGCGAGCAGCAAAGTCGACGAGCTCAGCAACAAGCGCAGACGCAGCAGTGGACTCAAAAGAGGGGTCAGTGACGACAGTAGCAAGGAGACGCGTGACAGTAGGACTGGCAGCACGAAGAGAGTCCGACTCAGGGTCGGCAAGCGCAAGAAGAGAGGATTCAGGAGGAGAGGGCAAAGGGGCACGCAGAGGAGCAGTGGACGGACGCAGAGACATCCGGTGCGTGCCAGGGACAGGAGGAGGACGCTGACGCGAACTGCGACCACTAGTGCGAGCAGCACGAACTGGCAACGCAGGACGGGACGTAGGCTCACGATGCTCAGCAAGACCTCCAGTAGGACCAGTGTACGGAGAAGGAGAAGGCAGTGGGGAGGCCGGTGGTAACTATGATTGTGACTGGACAGGCGGTGGACAGTCTACAGGAGGAGAAAGACCAAGAACCTGCTGCAGGAGCGGAACGAAGTACGGCCGAGGCCGTGCGGCAACTCCAGACACAACAGGGACAGCACCAGCACCCTCAGCGGCAGCACCAGCGCCAACAGCACCTCCAGCGGCGGAACCTCCAGCAGCACCAGCAGCACCCGCAGTAGGACCACCGCCAGAAAGGACAGCAGCAGTCTCAGCACCAACACCCTCAGTAGCTCCAGCGCCAGGCGGACCCGAAGGCCCAGGAGCCCCGGGACCGGCGGCACAAGTACCTTCAGCGGCCGAAGAAGCTCCAGCTCCAGCAGTACGCCTCCAGCGGCGAGCAAACCACTCGCGCAGCTCCTGTGGAGAGAGTGGCTCCTGCTGAGACGAAGCACCCGGAGAGCCTCCAGGCCCCGCACCGCCAGACGCCAGAAGGGGAGGTCCAGTGGCCGCAGGCTCCACAACTCTAGGCTCAGCAGCACCCCCTGGCTCAGCAGCTCCAGACGTAGCACCCCTAGGCTCAGCAACCCCAGTCGCAGCACCCCCAGGATCAGCACCCCCAGACTCAGCACTCCCAGGCTCAGCACCCCCAGGCTCAGCACCCCCAGTCGCAGCACCCCCAGGCTCAGCACCCCCAGTCGTTGTACCCCCAGGCTCAGCACCCCCAGGCTCAGTGCCTACGCGCGCAGTACCCCCAGAGTCAGCACCCGCAGCAGTACCAGAGTCACCAGCAACCTCGACCGACTCGACTGCGTCTACCTGGGACACACCTGAAGGGGCAGGACCCTGAGGGGGA